CCAAGGAATCCAACACTGCCAACACTGCCTACAATAACCCAGGCATCTAGTGACCCTTCACCAGCACATCTCAAAGAAGGGAGACACACAATCTCTACTACCAAAAGCAATAAGAATAACCGGAGTAAACAACCACTGGTCATTAATATCACTTAATATTAATGGGCTCAATTCACCTATAAAAAGGCACAGGCTAAAAGATTGGATACGAAAACAGGATCCAACATTCTGCTGTTTGCAAGAAACACATCTCAACCACAAAGACAGGCACCTACTCAGAGTAAAGGGTTGGGAAAAGGTGTTTCAAGCAAATCGTCCTAAGAAAAAAGCAGGTGTGGCCATACTAATTTCTAACAAAACTGACTTCAAACTAAAATCAATCAGAAGAGACCGAGATGGTCACTTTATACTCATAACAGGAACAATTCATCAGGATGACGTCTCAATCCTGAATATCTACGCCCCCAATATAAAAGCACCTACTTATGTAAAAGAAATATTACTAGAACTCAAGGCAGACATCAAACCACACACACTAGTAGTAGGAGACTTCAACACACCTCTCTCTCCAAGGGACAGGTCAATCAGACAGAAACCTAATAGAGAATTAAGAGAATTATTGGAGGTAATGAAGCAAATGGACTTAACAGACATCTATAGAACATTCCACCCAAATAGGAAAGAATATACCTTCTTCTCTGCAGCTCATGGAACCTTCTCAAAAATTGACCACATACTCGGAAACAAAGGAAATCTCCACAGATACAAAAAAATATCAGTGTCCACCTGTGTCTTATCAGATCACCACGGATTAAAGTTAAAAGGCAACAACCACGCTACCCCCAAAAAACCGACAAACTCATGGAAACTGAACAGTCAACTACTGAACCACACCTGGGTCAAGGAAGAAATCAAGAAAGAAATTAAAGTCTTCCTTGAATTTAATGAAAATAAAGGGACAACATACTCAAACCTATGGCACACAATGAAAGCAGTGCTAAGAGGAAAGTTCATAGCACTAAGTGCCTACTTAAAGAAAATGGAGAATGCATACATTGGGGACTTAACAACACACCTGAAAGCTCTAGAAAAAAAAGAAGCAGACACGCCCAGGAGAAGTAGAAGACTGGAAATAATAAAACTGAGGGCTGAAATCAACAAAATAGAAACACAGAAAACAGTCCAAAGAATCAATGAAACAAAAAGCTGGTTCTTGGAGAAAATCAACAAGATCGACAAACCCCCATCCAAACTAATTAAACGACAGAGAGAGAACACGCAAACAAATAAGATCAGAAATGGAAAGGGGGACATAACCACAGACACAGAGGAAATTCAGAGAATCATTAGATCTTACTACAAAAGCCTGTATGCCATAAAACTGGAAAATACAAAAGAAATGGAAATTTTTTTAAATAAGTACCATATGCCAAAGCTAAAACAAGACCAGGTGAATGATCTAAATGGACCTGTTACTTGCGAAGAATTAGAAACAGTTATCAAAAATCTCCCTTCGAAAAAAAGCCCAGGACCAGATGGTTTCAATGCAGAATTCTACCAGAACTTCCAAGAAGAACTAATACCTATGCTCCTTAATGTATTTCACAATATAGAAACAGAAGAGTCATTGCCAAATTCCTTTTATGAAGCTACCATTACCCTGATACCAAAACCACACAAAGACCCAATCAAGAAAGAGAATTACAGACCTATCTCACTCATGAACATCGACGCAAAAATTCTCAATAAAATACTGGTAAACCGAATCCACGAACACATAAGAAAAATTATCCATTATGATCAAGTAGGCTTCATCCCAGAGATGCAGGGCTGGTTCAACATACGCAAATCTACCAATGTAATCCACCATATAAATAAACTGAAAGAAAAAAACCATATGATCATTTCATTAGATGCTGAAAAAGCATTCGACGAAATTCAACACCCCTTTATGATAAAGGTCTTGGAGAGAATAAGGATACAAGGGTCCTACCTAAATATAATAAAAGCTATTTACAGCAAGCCAACAGCTAACATTAAATTAAACGGAGAAAAACTCAAAGCCATCCCACTAAAATCAGGAACATAACAAGGATGTCCACTCTCTCCATACCTCTTCAATATAGTGCTTGAAGTTCTAGCAATAGCAATAAGACAACATAAGGGGATCAAGGGGATTCGTATTGGAAAAGAAGAAGTTAAACTTTCGTTATTTGCAGATGATATGATAGTATACATAAGCGACCCCAAAAATTCTACCAAAGAATTCCTATAGCTGATAAACACCTTTAGTAATGTGGCAGGATACAAGATCAACTCCAAAAAATCAGTTGCCTTCCTATGCACTAAGGATAAGGAAGCAGAGAGGGAAATCAGAGAAGCATCACCTTTCACGATAGCCACAAATAGCATAAAATATCTTGGGGTAACTCTGACCAAGGAAGTGAAAGATCTATTTGACAAGAACTTTAAGGCATTGAAGAAAGAAATTGAAGAAGACACCAGAAAATGGAAGGACCTCCCTTGCTCTTGGATTGGGAGGATCAACATAGTAAAAATGGCAATTCTACCAAAAGCAATCTATAGATTCAATGCAATCCCCATCAAAATCCCATCAAAATTCTTCACAGATCTGGAGAAGAAAATAATCAACTTTATATGGAAAAACAAAAAACCCAGGATAGCCAAAACAATCTTATACAATAAAGGATTGTCTGGAGGCATTACCACCCCTGACTTCAAACTCTATTACAGAGCTACAGTATTGAAAACAGCTTGGTATTGGCATAAAAACAGAGAAGTCGACCAATGGAATCGAATAGAAGACCCTGACTTTAACCCACAAACCTATGAACACCTGATTTTCGATAAAGGAGCTAAAAGTATACAATGGAAAAAAGAGAGCATCTTCAACAAATTGTGCTGGCAAAACTGGATGTCAATCTGTAGAAGAATGAAAATAGATCCATATCTATCACCATGCACAAAACTCAAGTCCAAATGGATTAAAGACCTCAATATCAGTCCGAACACACTAAACCTGATAGAAGAGAAAGTGGGAAGTACTCTACAACACATGGGCACAGGAGACCACTTCCTACGTATCACCCCGGCAGCACAGACACTAAGGGCATCATTGAATAAATGGGACCTCCTGAGGCTGAGAAGCTTCTGTAAAGCAAAGGACACTGTCACTAAGACAAAAAGGCAACCCACTTACTGGGAGAAGATTTTCACCAACCCCGCAACAGACAAAGGTCTGATCTCCAAAATATATAAAGAAATCAAGAAACTAGACCGTAAAAGGCTAATCAACCCAATTATAAAATGGGGCATTGAGCTGAACAGAGAATTCTCAACAGAAGAACTTCAAATGGCCAAAAGACACTTAAGGTCATGCTCAACTTCCTTAGCGTTCAGGGAAATGCAAATCAAGACAACTTTAAGATACCATCTTACACCTGTCAGAATGGCTAAAATAAAAAACACCAATGATAGCCTTTGCTGGAGAGGTTGTGGAGAAAGGGGTACACTCACCTATTGCTTGTGGGAATGCAAACTTGTGCAACCACTCTAGAAAGCAGTGTTTCGGTTTCTCAGGAAATTCGGGATCAACCTACCCCTGGACCCAGCAATACCACTCTTGGGAATATACCCAAGAGAGGCCCTATCATACAACAAAAGTATATGCTCAACTATGTTCATGGCAGCATTGTTTGTAATAGCCAGAACCTGGAAACAACCTAGATGCCCTTCAACGGAAGAATGGATGAAGAAAGTATGGAATATATACATATTAGAGTATTACTCAGCAGTAAAAAACAAGGACTTCTTGAATTTTGCATACAAATGGATGGAAATAGAAAACACTATCCTGAGTGAGGTAAGCTAGACCCAAAAAGAGGAACATGGGATGTACTCACTCATAATTGGTTTCTAGCCATAAATAAAGGACATTGAGCTTATAATTCATGTTCCTAGAGAAGCTAAATAAGAAGGTGAATCCAAAGACAAACACATAGGCACCCTCATGAATATTAACCTTCATCAGGCGATGAAAGGAGACAGAGACAGAGACCCACATGGGAGCACCGGACAGAAATCTCAAGGTCCAAATCAGGAGCAGAAGGAGAGAGAACACGAGCAAGGAACTCAGGACCACGAGGGGTGCACCCACACACTGAGACAATGGGGATGTTCTATCGGGAACTCACCAAGGCCAGCTGGCCTAGGTCTGAAAAAGTATCGGATAAATCTGGACTAGCTGAACATAGCGGACAATGAGGAATACTGAGAACTCAAGAACAATGGCAATGGGTTTTTGATCCTACTGCACGTACTGGCTTTGGGGGAGCCTAGGCAGTTTGGATGCTCACCTTACTAGACCTGGATAGAGGTGGGTGGTCCTTGGGCTTCCCACAGGTCAGGGAACCCTGATTGCTCTTCGAGCAGATGAGGGAGGGGGATTTGATCGGGGGAGGGGGAGGGAAATGGGAAGCGGTTGTGGGGAGGAGGCAGAAATCCTTAATAAATAAATAAATACTATTTGGTTGGCAGATCTAAACATACAAAACACTTATGCATGTATGCCCACTAGTGTGCCAGCTCCCTTTTATTATGGTAGACAGTTAGGAAATAATAGTGTATTACTTAACCTCTGACTTTATATTGAAAAAGTGTATAGTGGTATTCATTAAAGAATCTCTATTTTAGTTTTCATAAAACAACTGAACATATCCACAAACTATTGTGTACTTCAGAAACAATATCTTCCATTGTTTATGAGTTAAACTGGTGATTATTTGATTTGTAAAACTGAATGGAAAAAGTAAACCATTTTTGATGCAAATCAAAAACCAAGAGTGGCAGTTTCTTTCCCAAAGTACCATTCTGGTTTGCCCCTAGAGTTGAGGCATGGCGATAGAAACTAGAACAAGAAATGATGCCTCTGATGGGTGGCCACCCTCAAACTTATCCCTGCGAGTAGAACTAAAATTCACCTTGCTCCATGTTGCTGAACGGTCTGCTGGAAACTTCTTTGGGGAGATCTTGGATTTCTCGTCTCTGGCAAAGTTTTTTTCCAAGTCCTTTGAGTCTTTCTTAGCTTGGGTAACACTGGAAGAGACACTGAGTCTCCGTGAGTGCACTGGTGGGATCTGTTAAAAGGAGAATAGAAGAGGTTCAAGCTTAGGCTTTTCTCCCCGACCCCTACCCCGGCTACTGGCGTCCTTTGTTCCTTAACCAGGTGAAAGACTGACAGGCCAAAAAGAAAAAAAAATGACACATATAAAAAATGTCATAATAAAACCTAGCATTATGTAAAATTAATAAATTCTAATACAGGCTGGGAGATGACTCAGTAGCAAAGACGAGGATCTGAGTTTAAATCTCTAGAACTCATGTAAAAATTAGAATGGGTAGCAGAAGCATCTGTAATGCCACTGCCTCGATGGCAAGATGGGAGCCAGAGATAGGAGAATCTCTGGAAAGTTGCAGGCAAGGTGGCCTGATGTATACAATAGAAAACAGCAAAGAACCCCTGGCTGAAACCAAGGGGGTTGAAAGGCAAGAATAGACACCTGAGGTTGTGAATTTGTCCTCTAACTACTACAAATGTGCCTTGAATGTGTGCACACCCACAGACGTTGAGTGTGTGTGTGAGAGTGTGTGTGTATACATGTGTTTGAATGTGAGCAATGCCCTTGGAGTCTCTGTAGATCAGTGTCTAAGCTGAAAGTGCTGTGTGGTAGTTTGAATAAGAATGGCCGCCACAGGCTCAAATTTGGGATGCTTAGTCATCGGGATGTGTGTGTGTATACATCTATGTGTGTATGTGTGTAGACATGAATTGTCTATGTGTATGTATACCTTTATTTATGTATGTATATATAAATATGTATGTGTGTGTATAAAATAACAACTGAGAAATAGGTTCAAGAAGGAATCTCCTGCCTCCTTGCCTTCACGTCTAATACCCACTGAAATCAACGACCAGCAGTCTTGGGTTTGCCTCTGGGTTTCTACATACTTTTGCCAATCCCCAAACAAAGTCAGAAGTATGTTTAATTAAAGCCAGAGTCTTGGTTTTAGGCCCTTCTGTATTCTGTCTAGAAATCTTGCTTCATTCTGATCTTTCTTTGAATCTTGGCCGTGTCTTTGGAGCCTAGTGCTTACAGAAGCAAATCTTTATGATCTGAGATTGACTTCCACACTATATATAATCTCTCAGTCCTTTTACTCCAAGAATCTTCTGGCCTGGATCTTTAAAATATTCACTTCTTGTCTTCATATAATTATGGTCTATCTTTCTGGGAATGCTAAAGAAAAATCTAGAGATTCATGCTCAGCAAGCCTGTACCATTGAGACTAGATTTAAATAAATAAAATCTAAAACCTTTAGTTCTTGGCTTTTTGGAGACCTTTCCCTATGGTGAGATACCATGCTCAGCCTAGATACAGGAAGGAGGGCCTTGGTCCTGCCTCAACTTGATCTGCCAGGCTTTGTTGACTTCCCATGGGAAGCCTTATCCTCTCTGAGGAGTGAGTGTGAGGTGTGGGGGAGGTGGGAGAAAGTTGGGGAGGAAGAAAACAGAGGGGGAAAATGTGGTTAGTATGTAAAATGAATTTTAAAAATAAAAAAATAAATCTTTAAAAAATAAAATGTATAGTTCAATCTTTAATTTTATAAAAAAGATAAAAATGGTCTCTTTGCAGGGTAGACTAATTTCAGACTAAGGACCATGATACAAGAGGACCATGGCCAGGCAAGTGCATCATGGTCATTAGACTATAGATTTTAAATTTTATTTATCTATTTGTTCATCTGTTGTGGGAAATCAAAGCGAGAGCCTCTCACTGGTGCTTAGCAAGATTGTACCATCTGCAGTTTGCCTCACCCGATCCTATGAACTGGGCTACAATAACTCACGGTTCTTTATTCTTCAGAGCTAACATTTCTTGCTTCTGTCTAAGGGTCTACATAGCTCAGGACATAGAGCCTCCAGACATTAGCCAAAGAAAAATGGACACAATAGAGGTTTGCCAAGATTTTACTCCTGGATAACTCCTGGCTAGGGTTTCTGGTGCTCCTTTATTGCTACCAGTCTTTACTGGGAACTTAGGAACTAAGCCTAAATCAACTATTGCTTCAATAAACCATCCCTAAGCCCAGGTCTAATGAAAATAGTTACAAATGACGACAAATAACTTTCACTAAAGGATGATAAAATGCCAGGCAGTGCGAAATCTCCGCGGGCGTATCTCATTTAAAAATCACGGTTCTTAGAAGTGTTTGCTAGTATGAGCTCCATTATCTAGGTGGGGGGAAATGAGATTTGAGAATAGATGTAACTGATCATAGTTCTACCACTTACAAGGCAAGTATTTGTAATCTCTTGCTAAATTGATAGCTTGTGTTCTTACCCACTATGCACTCTTGTTTCCCCACCAGCAATAAGTGCCAGGGATGGGAGGTCCCATTCTGAAGGCCATGTTTAGGAAGCTGAAAGGCAACAGGCAGAGCCAATGGTCTATTTGCTCCATTTAGAAGGACTGCAGAAGGCTACAGAGGTGGATCAGTGGTTAAGAGCACTGATTGTTCTTCCAGAGGATCTGGGTTCAATTCCCAGCACTCACATGGAAGCTCACAACTGTCTATAATTCCAGTTCCAGGGTACCCAACACCCATGGCAAAATACAAATACATGTAAAATAAATATTTAAAAAAAAAGAAAGAAGAACTGCAGAAAGAGGGTTGGGGCCTGAGAGCAGTAAGAAAGGTGTTTCTTACAGGGTTTTTTAAATGATAAACTCAACGGCATGAAGATGCTATTAACACAGAATCACATCTTAACTGTTTGTAATCAAATAAGGAAAGCCTCATCTAAGCACACACATTCCCAGCACATCAGAGAGGGCATCGGGTGAATGTCTGGAAAGGAAGAAAATTGGCTTCATTTTCGTATTTGGGACAAAAGTGGATACCTGGATTTCCCTCTCACACTCTTTAGATGCTGCGAAGGTCATTTATGACCCACTAAGAATCCTGCTCTGGGGCTGGAGGGATTGCTTGGCCATCAGGATCCACATCAGGCAGCTCACAACAGTCTGCAACTCCAGTTCCAGAGGAATGCAACCCCTCTGACCTCTGTGGGCAATTGTACTTATGTGTACATACCCCCACACACATATAGATAGACTTTTTTTTTTAATTTAAAAACTAACCCAAACTCTTCAAGGGACCCGGACAGTGGACAATTCTATAGTTCTACCGGGATCTCTGGAGCACTGCATGTCAGGAACCTTGATTGTTTTAGTTTTAGTATGTGTGTTCGGTGTTTTGAGACAAGGCCTCAGAACATACTCCAGGGCAATCTGAAATTCACTGTGTAGGAGAAACAAGTCTTGAACTTATGATCCTCCGGCCTCAGCATCATAAATGCTTATATTATAGAAACGTGACAGCCACCTTGCCGGGCATCTGAGACCCTTGCCACCAATTAACCTTCATGAAGTACAGCCATCTTGGCACTTGAAGGGAGTTTTCTACCCAGAGGTTAAAATGGTCATTGAGGATCTATTGTCACCTAACCTAGTTGGCATCACACACACACACACACACACACACACACACACACACACACACACACACACACACCTTGACACAAGCCACAGTTATCTGGAAAGAGAAACCTCAAATGAGAAAATGCTTTATCAGATTGCCTGTAGACAAGTCTATGGGGAATTGATCACTTCTTGATAGAGGAGGGCCCAGCCCATTGTGGGCAGTGCCACCCCTGGGCAGGTGATCCTGGGTGGGGTAAGAAAGCAGGCTGAGAAAGCCACGCAGAGCAAGCCATGTTCCTCCGTGTCCTCTGCTTCAGTTCCTGCCCCCTTGCTCCTGCCTTGACTTCCTGCCCTAGCTTCCCTCAGTGATGGATTGTTTACCTGGAAGTAGAAGATGTAATAAACCATTTCCTCCCCCCAAGCTGTTTTTGGTCATGGTCTTTATCACAGTAATAGGAAAAAAAAATCACTAATGCAGCGCCCTCTGCTGTCCCTGGACATGTTTGACAGGAAGAGGCCTGAAGGATCAGGCAGGCCCAATCAACACATGAGATGTAGGCCCACACTGGTCATTTGTGGCCCAGAACCCAGCAAATATGTCAAAATATCAGAACAACCCAAAGGTTATGAATCTCATCAGTAAATTGTCAGCCAAGTTGGGAGGTCAAGCGTAATGTCAAACAGAGCCCTTGCTGAATGAAGAGCAGCTTAGCTCGCTCACTGGATGTTGCAATAATGCAAACAAACCAGTGTACCTCTGACCTCATCAGGAGAGCTGGGGTGCTTCGAAGACTATCCCTACCCTTCTGCATCAAATGCGGCTGAAGCATTTTACAGTGGTTTGCCATTAGGGTCTTCATTTAGATAATGTTTTCCTACTAGGAATTATAAACACTTTTCAACCTTAATCATATTTTTTAAAAATTTAGGGAGTATTAATTCCTCCATTTTTCTTTACTAGTCTTTTGGGGGTTTTCCTTTGAATTACTGGCCAAGCAAGCTGAATATGGCCAACTTACTGCTTTCATGAATGGAAATAAAGATTTGTTAGTGGGAAGCAAGTAAAACCCATTTAAGTTGATTTGAGTTGGAGAAAAAAAAGAAAACTTGCCTTTGAACTATTGTGGTTTTTCCCGTCCCTTCATCATGACAAATAAAGCTCCTATAATATTTCCTTGCATTCTTCTCAAAAATTAATCTTGGTTTTTAACTGAATGTCTGTACTGTTAATGTCTGAAACTCTACTACTACAGGAGGGAAAGAGTACCGAACTGTTTGGTTCCAAATATAAGAAACAACCTGTAACACTTGCCATGGCCAAGAAGGGGTAGAGAATGTAACTGCGGGCATGCAAAAGCTGGTGTTGCTATTTCAGACTGGATATTAGAAAGTACAGGAGAAGAGGCTTTCCCTAATGTGCTGCAAGAAGGCAACACTCCAGTGACACTAGGGACCCCCACCCCAGAGCCATGCCCTCTGCTGATCTCCTCAGTGCCGTCTTCCCCACCCTTCAAGATTAAAGCACCCAGCACAATTTGCACACACTCTGCATAAGCCAGAGCCAGTCACCTGAAGCCTCAAACAGATGTGACAAAGATAAACTCAACTTCTTTTTTGCCAAATACAAAAATCATATCAAAACAGCTTTCCAGTGGGGCATGGTCTCCTTGTGCAGCTTCCCCAGTTTCACAGGGATGCTCAGGCAGAAACCCACCCATAAACAAGAAACAAGCTGCTAAAAATTGATGCCCTGGCATTCAATCCAACTCCATGAAGAGCACTCCTGGATCAGAGTTCTAGAAGTATCTGGCTGAGGAATGGTTGCATCTTATAAGTTTAGGATTAGTTGGAGGTAAGGGGCTTTCTTAATGTAAATGATAATTTTTTCTGGGACTGTTAAGAGTGCTACCATATCTGGGCAGATATGAAGAATTAGAGAATCTTAGGAAGTGAGGTAGAGGGAGCCCATGGATTTTGAGGTTAATACACCTGAAATACATTTCCAAGTCAACAATATACTAGCTGGGTGAATCATTTATTTTAAAAATATTTATTAGATGGATTTATATTCCTTTTATGTGTGTGAGCATTTTGCCTGTATGTATGTCTGTGCACCATGTCCCTGGTGTCCATGGAGGCCAGAGGAAGGAATTAGATTCCTTGGAACTGGAGTTACAGACAGTTATAAGCTATTGTGGGATACTGGGAATCAAACCTAGGTCCTCTGAAAGAATGCTTTTAACCACTGAACCATACCTCCAGTCCCTTTAATAACTTATTTAAACTTTCAGACTCTTCACTCAATCCCCATAAGCAAATTTTTGAGGGAGTTATCAATGCTGTACATTGTAGATGAGCAAATGAAGGCTCAGAGAAGTTAAGGTCTTACGGTCACAGCCACTAAGTTGCAGGACAAGAATTCAAGCATAGATTTATGTAGTTATTTGATCGAAATGGCCCCCATAGTTTCATAGGGAGTAGCACTATTAGGAGGTGTGGCCTTGTTGAAATAGGTGTAATCTTGTTGGAGGAGGTGTGGCTTTGTTAGAGGAAATATGACATTTGGGGTGGGTTTTGAGGTTTCAGATGCTCAAGCCAAACCTAGTTTCACTCCCATCCTGCTGCCTGCCAATCCAGATGTCCAACTCTCAACTCCCTCTCTAGCACCATGCCTGCCCGCCTGCTGCTATGCTAAGAATGGACTAAACTTCTGAGCTATAAGCCAGCCCCAGTTAAATGTTTTCCTTTATAAGAGTTGTCATGATCATGGTGTCTCTGCACAGCAATAGAAACCCTCAGACAGAAGTTGATACCAGGTACTGGGGTATTGCTGTGATGGGCCTGACCGTACTTCTGTTAAGAATGTGGGCTTTGAGACTTTGGATTAAAAGAAACATCTGAATGCTTTAAGTGGGCCTTAATGGGCCAAACTAGTAGGAGCATGAAAGACAGTGGTGCTGAGGCTGTTGTGAACTGTGGGGGCCTGGCACATGAGGTTTCAGAGAAGAATATTAGTAGGTTGCCTAGAGATCATTATTATGATATTTTGGTGAAGAATGAGGCTGTTTTCTGCCCTTGTTAAAAAAAAATCTGTCCGTAGCTAAATTAAAGAATTATAGATTAACAGCTTTGGCAGAGAACATTTTCAAACAATTTAGGATTAACTGTCTTGTGTGGTTATTAGTGGCAAGTCATATGCAGATCTATAGTGAAAACGAGCAAGCTGAACAAGAAAAATTACAAAATGGACAATTGGAAGAGAAAAGGCACCAGGAAGTGTAAACAGATTAAAGAAAAGCCTGATGCTAAGTGGAATTAAGGGAGTGGTGACCTCAGAGCAAGATCCCACCCAGCTAAGCTTCCAATTTGTGAAAGGGAGTGAGAGAAAAGTTTAGGGCCAGGTGTGGTGGTGCACACCTTTAATCCCAGCACTCAAAAGGCAAAAGCGGGCGAATGTCCGAGTGCACGGTCAGCCTGGTCTGTCTACAGCACTAGTTCCAGCAAAGTCAATATTAGGCTGTGAAAGAAACCACTGAAAACAAAAGCTGGTGAAAATATATTTGAACAAGGGGGTCCTGTTCAGCCCCAGCAAGGAGCAGAACTTGGCAGCTTCGGCCATACTGTTCTGGCTTTAGGGTCAAGAATAGAAGAAATGAATTATGGAATCTCCCTACACAGCTAAAGAAAGCTTCTGAGGCTAGGTATGTGGCAGGGTGTCCCTGTATGGAGGCCCAGAGACAGCACTGTGTGAAGCTGTGAAGGTAAAGCCTGAATTGCCTTGGAGATCCCCAAATCTTGGAGATGCTGGAACTATGGGATACCTGCTAAACAGAGCTGATAACAGGAAGTGGAACCAGCCCAAGAGAGAAAAGTGTGTTGCAGTCAACAAAGCTGAAAAGAGTTGAAGATCTGAGGAGCACTTTGACACCAGACATGGAGATGCAGAGTTTGGAGTTTGCCCAGCGTGTTTTTGGTCTTGCTTTGGTCCAGGATTTTCTCATTTATGTTCCTTTTCCTACATTTTTAAACTGTAATGTATGCCCTGTGCTATTATGCATTAGAAGTATGTGATCTGCTTTTTCATTTTGATTTTACAAGGAATTACAGGTAAGAGATTGCATGAGTCTCAGAAGAGACTTTGAACTTCAAACTTCTAAACAATGCCGGCACTGTTATAGACAATGGGGACTTTTGAAATTGGACTATGACATGGCTACTTGTATATAGGGGCCAAGGAGTGGAATGTGCTGGTTTGAAGGAAAATGGCTCCCATAGGCACACAAGGAATGGCAAAGTTAGGAGGTGTGGCCTTGTTGGAGTAGGTATGGCCTTATTGGAGGAAGGATGTCACTATGGGGGAAGGCTTTGAGGTCTTATATGTTCAAACTATGCCCAGTATGGCACACAGTCTCTTCTGATGCTGCCTGTGGATCAAGATACAGAATTTTTTCATCTTTTTCTCCAACACCGTGTCTACTTGCATGCTGTCATGTTTGTTGCCATGACCAATAATGGACCAAACCTCTGAGATTATAAGTCATCCCCAGTTAAATGTTTTCCTTTAAAAGAGTTTTCATGCTCACAGTATCTCTTCACAACAATAGAAATTCTGACTAGGACAATCTGTCTATCTGACTTAGCTGCCCATGCTCCATAAATTTCCATGGTATTACCTCAGCAACCATGGAGCCTGAGACCCAGAGTTCACTTTTGGGACCACAGCAGCCCACAGATGTACTCAAAGCTCCAAGGACATCAGTTCCTGTCACTCTAGGCAGAGTTCTGGAAATAGGAAATCTCTGTGGGAGAGAGAGAAAAGCTTGAGTTTGGTATGTTAGCACATAGTGAACACCCCACTATCAAAATAATGATAGTATCCTTGTAGTGTCTTAAGTACACTAACAACAGCCAACACTCTGTGTTGGCCATGTTACATGAGTACACACCTATTTAAATATTGGATTATTTGATGTTTAAGATATTGCTGTGAGGTAAAATTAACTTTTGAGCAGGATTAAATTTCTCCCTCCTTTGAGGAGGATATGATAGAGGAATAGTGTCGAATTAGACTGAGGTCAAGTTCATCATTACCTCCTGTGGTCTGCTTCTCTGGGGCTCTTGAGACAAGGGCAGTTTGCTTGCCCGTTTCTCAGGCTCAGATTCCAAACAGAAGACACTGTCATGGGATATGGACTTGGTTCCCAAGCTACTCTTAGGCCTACATGGAAAGAAAAAGTATTTTAAAAGCAGTCCAAGATTAAGAATCAAAGTACAAGATATTTTCATGATATAGATACAAGAGACAGCGCAGAAAGAATGCAGAGATGCATATATATTGAACCATAAATCAGTCTGTGAGATGGGGCGTGAGAATACAAAAACACAAAGACCAAGATACACAACTGTAACATATGTGCAGATGACCTAGGTTAATTCCATGCAGGCTTCCTGATTGTCGATTCAGTCTCTGTGAGTCCCTGCGAGCCCAGTTAGTTGATTCTGTAGGATTTCTTGTGATGCCTTTGACCCCCATTGACTCCTACAATCTTTCCTACCCCTCTTCTACAGGATTCCCCAAGTTCTGCCTAATGTTTGGTTTTGGGTCTCTGAATCTGTTTCTATCAGTTTCTGGGTGAAGCCACATAAATATAAATATGTCATTTCCCTGCTGTAGATTATGCTTATTGTTAAAAATAAAGCTGTTTGACTGATAGCAGGGAAGAAAGAGATTGGACAAGACAGCCAGACAAGGGAGAATCCTGGGAGAAAGGGGTGGAGTTAGGGTAGTGTTGGGGAATATTATTTTAAGGTGTATGAATTTTGTTTATGGTACATTTGTTTAACTCTGTGAAGTTGTGATTCTTGGCCTGTCTAAAACACCTGATGGCCTAATAAAAAGCTAAATGGCCAATAGTGAGTCAGGAGGAAGAATAGGCAGGGCTGGCAGGCAGACAGTATAAAAGAAAGAAGGAGAAATGATGAAGAAAAGGAGCAAGAGAACAAGAAGAGGGGAACATCGGGGGCCAGCAAACGATAGAGAAAGAAGTAAAGAAAGGTATGTGAAAATAGAAAAAGATAAGCCAGGCGGTGGTGGTGCACGCCTTTAATCCCAGCACTCAGGAGGCAGAGGCAGGCGGATCTCTGTGAGTTCAAGGCCAGCCTGGTCAACAAGAGCTAGTTCCAGGACAGGAACCAAAAAGCTAAGGAGAAACCCTGTCTCGAAAAAAAAAAAAATAGAAAAAGATAAAGGCCCAGAGGCAAAAGGTAATCAAGATAATTTAAGAAAAACTGGCAAGAAACAAGTCAAGTTAAGGCTGGGAAATTATAAGTAAGAATAAGCCTTTGTGTATGATTTATTTGAGAGCTGGGTGGTGAGCCCCTCAAAAAGCCAAAAGAGTAAAGCATCACACAACAGACACCAGCCAGCTGCCAAGCAAGCAAGACACGTAGAAAATGAGGCAACCAGCCACGAGCCACATGGCAAAATGTAGATTAATAAAAATGAGTTAATTCAAATGTAAAATATATTTAGTAATAACACTAGTCATCAGTGGTAATTTGTAAGCTACTCCCAGGACAGGAAAACTCTGCCTACATGTGGCACTCTGTGGCAGGCATACGTCCACATAAAGCCTGAAAAGGCTTTTTAAAAGGGAGGAATTCTAGACGCACAGAAATATAACCAGGGGCTGGGGAGATGGCTCAGTGGTTAAGAGCATTGCCTGCTCTTCCAAAGTCCTGAGTTCAATTCCCAGCAACCACATGGTGGCTCACAACCATCTGTAATGGGGTCTGGTGCCCTCTTCTGGCCTGCAGACATACATGCAGACAGAATATTGTATACATAATAAAATAAATCTTTTTTTCAAAAAAGAAATATAACCAAGAACAGCTTCCTAATTTGTGTCTCTCATGTAGGCCATGGTATGGAGACACATCTCCTGGCTGCAGCATGTGATCTTGAGCTTAAGTGGCATAATGGGTTCCTGCAATCTCTTCCATGGATAGCAGCACAGAGAGGCTTCTTCTAGCTGCTGCCTGCAGGCTTGAGAGCTCTGCCAGCATGCTACATGATGGGTTTATGAGTTTTGCTCATGTAGACAGGAAGGGTTAAAGATGCACAGTAAGGACAGATTCAGACCCCAAAAAAGCCTCTAAATGGGTCACAATGTATTAAAAAATGTGTGTAGGCTTGGGAGAGAGAAAAAAGAATATATACAGTCTTTGATGTAAAAAGTACAGTTTTAAAATAAAATCCTTAAAAAAGAATAGAGTAATAAAAATAAGTCACATAAAATGTAAAATACACAGAGAGTCTAAATACTGTGTATTATTGTGTTATCTTTGAACTTTTTGGCTGCTAAGAGACACTGGACAATAAAAACCAATAGACTGAACCAACCTATATATTTTAAAAATAACTTTAAAATTTAAGTTAAAAAATATGTTACTTTGGGTGAAAGGTTATGCTTTTATTTCCACATAAAATAAGAGGCGATGGATTCATTCTTGGGTAAAGAAAATCAGATTTGATCAGGAAAGACCCCCTAAAATCTTGACTACAGACATGGGAAAATAAACCTAAAGAAACTACAAGACATGTAATGCATATTTTGCCTGCTCAAACACATAAAACAAAGATTCATTGGCTAACTCGTGTACTCTGCACATTCAGTATTTATATTGATACAGATATGTATGTTACCTTTTAAAATTTATGTATTTTCAGAGCAAGGGGACAAGATACCAATAAAGACAGTCCAGGTGACCCAACTTCAAGGCTACTGACTGAGATCATCCAGTCTTACAAAATACTCCAGCTAAGATTAAACAATTATTCTCTTTTCCTCAGGGTTTCTCCAAAGATTGCCAGTGCCCCCAATCATCAGGAAGTAGTTTAGAAAACTATGTCCACATTTCCAAAATACTGATTATAAATGTTTATTTTCATTTAAGGTCAGTTGGTTATAAATTGTTATTGGTCACGATCAAAAAGGACTAAACAAAAAATAAATGTCTCTTTCTAAAATAATAAATATAAATATACTATAAAAATGATGGGGAGAGGGGCTGGAGAGATGGCGCAGAGGTTAAGGACACTGACTGCTCTTCCAGAGGTCCTGAGTTCAATTCCCAGCAACCACATGGTGGCTCACAACCATCTACAATGAGATATGGTGCCCTCTTCTGACATGGAGGCAGAACACTGTATTGTATATGTAATAAATAAAATCTTTAAAAAAAATAATGGGGAGAAGGGGTAGATTATTGAATCTACTTTAAACCAAAAAACAATAGTTAACCTCAAAATATTTTACATTGATATGGATTTTAGTTTATTGATACAAATTTGTTAATTTTATTATACTGTATGTATATTTCTACTCTTGTTTATGGTATTGTGTTTATACAGCTCAATTAAAAATGTAATATGTAATTTAAAAATACAGATTAATAGTCATTTATAATAGTCAAAATTATAGTCATGTTAGATACATTTCAAAATCATAAACATAGGTTTAGATAGATAGATGATCTTCAGACTTTTCAAAGACCTACAGAATATGACATTTAATATGGTTAATAACCTAAGGCTTTTCGTGACAATGAGACACATCTGCTCCTGGCAGCACCAATATACTTTAGAGAAGAAAATAGGCATTGAAGAAACTCTGTATGGAGTTTTCTTTCTTTATGGCAAAATCTAGTCATAGACAAATAAGCTTCCCTTGCCTCAATTGCTGGTAGTCAGTCACTATTCAAACTGGACCAGTAGGACTCAAGAAAGGTGAATGCCAAACTTTGCCAAGACAAGGAATAACAGTTCTTCAAAATTCTCTTCTTCACAGGATAGTCTATCAGATATGCTAGGCCTGTAGGCCAGAGTTGGATGCCCCAACATTACAGAGGAACTTTGGGTGACTGTCCAGGCAGCCTGATGTTCCTGTCATTAGGTAACATTTCACCCTTCTGGGGTCTTTGACAGAGTTAAAGACTAAATAGTCATAGTTAAAATTTTTCTTAGTTAGGATAAAATGTAAATTAGATACTCACCAAGATAAGATAGATAATATTTTCTCTAATTTTGCCAAATACAAATGGATTGGATATTGTTACTGTAATTCTTTTTTTAAAAAAAATATTTATTTATTTATTATGTATACAATATTCTGTCTGTGTGTATGCCTGCAGGCCAGCAGAGGGCACCAGATCTCATTACAGATGGTTGTGAGCCACCATGTGGTTGCTGGGAATTGAACTCAGGACCTTTGGAAGAGCAGGCAATGCTCTTAACCACTGAGCCATTTCTCCAGCCCTTGTTACTGTAATTCTTAATAACTGTTTTTGCTATATTTAATCTTACTATGTTAAAGTTAAAACCTTCCCTTTTAACTAAACAAAAAGAGGGAAACTCTGTGGATTTTACTCATTATTAATAATAAAGTTGACTGGTCAATAGCAGGGCAGAAAGAGATTGGACAAGGCAGCCTGACAACTGGGAGAATGCTGAGAGAGAAGGGCAGAGTCAGGGCAGTCACAGCAGATGCCAGTTAGCTGCTGAGTAAGCAGGATGTGTAGAAAAGAAGATAACAAGCCACAAGCCAAGTGGCAAAATATAGATTAATAAAAATGGATTAATTTAAATATAAGAGCTAGTTAGTAATAACCTTGTGCCATCAGCTGAGCATTTATAGGTAATATAAGCCTCTGTGTGGTAATTTGTAAGCACCTCCTAGTATAAGAAAATTCCACCTACATTTTCCCCTCTCCCTTCTTTCCTCTAACCCCCCATGCTTCCTCCCTCCCTCGCAAATAGGGAATGGAACTGTTAGGAGATGTGGCCTTGTTGGAGTGGGTATGGCCTTGTTGGAGGAAGTGTGCTACTGTGGAGGTGGATTTGAGGTCTCATATATACTCATGATGTGGGAGTTCCCTCTGTGTGCTATGATTAGCATTAATGAATAAAGAAACTGCCTTGGCCTGTTGATAAGGCAGAACTTAGGTAGGCAGGGAAGATGGAACTGAATGCTGGGAGGAAGAAGGGCAGAGTCGGGGAGACGCCATGGAGCCGCTGGAGATAGATGTGCTGGAATTTTGCTGGTAGGCCATGACCTCATGGTGATATACAGATGAATAGAAATGGGTTAAATTGAGATGTAAGAGTTAGCCAAGAAGAAGATAGAGCTAATGGGCCAAGCAGTGGTTTAATTAATACAGTTTCTGTGTAGTTATTTCGGGGCTAAGCTAGCCAGGCGGCCAGGGTGAACAAGCAGGCCCTCTTCCTACATGCTCAAGCCAAGCACAGTGTCTCAGACTAACTTCCTGTTGCCTGAGGGTCAAGATGTAGAACTCTCAGCTCCTTCTCTGGCATCATGTCTGCCTGCATGCTGCCATGTCCCACAGTGATGATAATGGTCTAAACCTCTGTAACTGTAAGCTCCCACCTCAAATAAATGTTTTCCTTCATAGGAGTTGCTCTTGACAGCAATAGAAACCCTAACTAAGACAGTAGCAAAAACAGCAGACTAAACAGACCATTTTGGAGTGAGAAGTTACCATTGTTATAGAAATAGCCATTACTAATTTGCAGAAGCAATGCAGAATATGCTAGATATTCCCTCCATCCCCCACCACTCTGTTGTGTAGACAGGCTTCTTCTAGTCTTACCTTGAACTCTGAGACAATGTTCTACAATGGTATTGCTTGAACAGTATGAAATGAGCCCTTTTTTTCAACCCCCTCCTCTTGGCAAAGCTATCTGACAGTCCTCATCATGGGTACGGTCATTAAAGAACCACAGATACTTTAATGTCATAATGCCATGGGAAGTGTTTGGGAGAGGAGAGTACTGGGAGAGTCTTGGCATGGCAGAGCCTCAGAGAATGGTGAGGAGCAATGGTGAACTCTGTGTGGCACCTCCAGATGTCTGCAGTTTAACATCCTGAGAATTGACCAAAGTGTTCCATAGAGGGAGATCTGATTGGTCTAGGGACAGCTGCAGGTACAGAAGATCCCAATGAATGAGAAAGGTAATGTTTAAATTGGAACACCACATATAAAAATGTGAATGGGTGTCAATTAGTGGCTAAGAAACAGCTTTCCCCATATCCCTGTGACCACCCAGTATCCCGAGGGGGAGTGAAAGATGGATTGAGCATGCTAGTTTGTTTGTGTACTTTAAAACAACCAAAGAGTTTATGGCTAAGCTCTTCTATGCTTCAACACTCCTTTTCCTGAGATTTTATTACATAGGAACCTAGAGTCCATTTTCCTGATCTGCAGTCTGGAGATGAGGTAAGCAAACCAGGTCAAAAGACCAAACCTCTGCATGACATGAGCCATCCTGACTGTCTGAAATGGGCCACGAGCTCCTCGTGAGCAGTAGGCCTGGAGTCTGATTGTTCTACCTGCTTGTGCATGTTTGAATCCAGCTCCAGCCCCAGCCCCTGACCCCATCTGAGCTTACTTGTGCACTTTGATTTCCGTAACTGGCTTCAGACTGCTACTAGAAAGCCTTGGCTTTACCACGTTCCCTTCCTGGACATCTTCCGGCTCTTTCTTCTTCTTCTTGCCAAAAAAGCTCTTAAAGGCTTTAAACTTGGATTTCTTCTTTCCTGGAAATGAGAAATGGCCATGAGGTTGAGCGCAGCAGAAGAAGTGAAGGTAGGGGAGAGACAGAGCTGTAGCGGCAGGAAGAGGCCTATGGTCTCGGGTGCCTTGAAGATTTTGCCTCTGGTACCCACCATACCATTCATGTGTTTGTGACATCCTTAGAAATTCAATAAGCAGGTATCTGGATTGCTGTGGGAAGGAACAACCCAGGACATAGCTTGTGGGGTCTTAAGATAGCCTCAATCCAGGCCAATACTCACAAAGTACCAATTTGCTTGTTAATTTCAATGATTGAGAAAGCTCATCTACATTTTATTTTTTTAGCTTTCAACCTTCTTTATTTTATTTTATTTAAATTTGTGGAAGGGAAGGCCCAGGATGTGTGTGTGTATATATATATATATATATATATATATATATATATATATATATACCAGCTGGCCTTGAAATTGTGATCTTCCTGCTTGAAGCTCCCTAGTGCTGATATTACAGGCCTGTGATACTCACCCTCAGACATGACCTCATCTTTATTCTTCTAATTGCTCAAATCTTGGAAATTGTAGGGATTTTTAGAAAGCACAGGGTCTTACTCTGTAAGCCAGGGTGGCCTCAAACTTAGGTTCTTCCTGCCTGTGCAGCCAGAGGGCTGGTATAACAACACATGTATCAAATCTAGAAAAGTGGAGAGGATAAGAACAAAACAAAGCAAGAGCAAAAGAAAAAAAAAACAAAATTAAAAGCAAACAAACAAAACTCTGTAGGTCAAACTGGTCAAAAACTCTCGATCCTCCTGTCTCAGCACCCCATGCTGTTATTGCAGGTCTGGGCCACCACCCAGACCTGACCTTGTCTTTTAATATTTCAATTTTGTAAATGTGGGAAATTCTAGAGGTTAAAAAAAATACAGATCTCAAACTTTCAATTCTCCTGCCTCCACACCCCAAGTCTTGGTATTGCAGGCCTGTAATAAATAAAACCACCTATGCCTTGTCTTCTCTTTTAAACTAATTTCTTAAATCTATAAAATTGAGGGGGTTTTAAAAATGGGACCTCACTATTTGGTAGAGGCCAGCCCCATTAAGGGCCACGGTTGTGGAGGGGCGGGGCCATAGAAGATGAAAGCCGGGTCTGGGGGCGGGGCTTAGGGAGATAAGAAGGGGAGGTAGTGCATGCTGAGGGTGGAGTCGGGCGGCTGAGGGGCGGGGACTAAGGGAGGTGTGACCAAGCAGGGGCGGAGCCTGGAGCAGAGGGGCTTGGGGAGCACTGGGCCTACTTAAGGGCATGGTCTGAAATGGGTGGGGCTCTTGATTCCCCTGTGTCCAAACTTAAGTTCTGGTATCGCAGGCCTGTGCTACCACTCTAGGCATTGCCTTCTCTTTTCGATATTCTATTTTTTTAATAAATGAAATTGTGAGGTGTTTTAAGGTCCCAATATGTAGCCTACACTAACTTCGCACCTTTGATCCTTTGGCCTCCACACCATAAGTGCTGTTATTACAGGCCTATGACACCTACCGAGGCTTGACCTGCTCTTTTAATCTTCTGATGTCTTAAATCTAGGGAATTGTGTGTCCATGTTTCTTTTCTAGAAAGGATTCTCTTTGTAGCCTAGGTTGTCCTTAAATTCCATCCTCTGCCTTCTACACCCTCAGGGATGATATTACAAGCCTGGGCCACCATCCCAGGCTTGTCTATCTCTTTTAACCTTTTAAATACTTAAATTTAGGAAAGTGTGGGGATTAAAGCATCAGGGGCTCATTCTATAGCCCTCACTTTTGGGATTCTCTTACGTCCACACCCAGAGGAATACCACCTCAATCCTAGCCTTATTTTTTACTCTTTAATTTCTTTAATCTAGAAATCTGTGGTGGTTAAAAAATCTGAGCCTTGCAGGCCAGTGGTGGCGCACACCTTTAATCCCAGCACTCAGGAGGTAGAGACAGGTGGATCTCTGTGAGTTCGAGGCCAGCCTGGTCTACAGAGAGAGTTCCAGGACTGGCTGGCTCCATAGCTACAGAGAAACCCTGTCTCAAAAAAACAAAAACAAACCAGCCAAACAAAGAAAAACCGAGGCTTGCTCTATAGCCCAGGCTATCCTCAATCTCTTGATCTTTGTCCCTTCACATACGGAGTTCGGTATTATAGGAATTTGCAACGACCCCAGGCTTGACTGTGCCCTAGTTGATGTATTATAGGCCACCACTACAGGCTAGGCTTCCTCTTTTAGTCTTTTAATATTTAAATCTTAGAAATTGTGGTAGTTTAAAAACCAAGGTCTCACACTGTAGCCCAGGTTGGCCTGGAACTCACAATCCTCCTGCTTCCATATCACTGAGTTCTGGCATCGCTGTCCTGTGCCACCACCAACGCTAGGTGTTCTTATTTAAGTTTCTAGTTTCTTACATCAAAGTTGTGAGGGAAAAAAAAACATGGTCTCACTATGTGGCTGAGGCTAGCCTCAAAACTCTTCACCCTCCTGCCTCCACCTCAAAATCCTGGTATTCTAGGCCTACACTATCAATCTCTTAATCTTTTAAATTTGTGAATCTATGAAACTGTGAGTTTTTTAAGGATTTTGATGTGTAGCCTAGGCCGTCCTCAGACTGTTGATCCATCCACTTGCTGTAACCAAGAGTACTGGGATGCAGGTGAGTGCCTCTACCTCAGACTTCGCTTTCTTTTTTAATCATCTGATTTTTTTTTAATTTAGGGAATTGTACAGTTTAAAAAAAAAAAACAGGGTCTCACTTCACAGATGAGGGGAGCTTCAAACCCGCGATCTTCCTGCCTCTATGCCCTGAGTGCTGGGATTATAAGACTAAGGTAATGTGCAGTTCTAATTGGTGCAATCATAATTGCGGTTTTATCCTAGACAATGCTTCACAGTTAGCCCCTTGTAGGGAAATGCCCTGGTGTGCACACTTCACCTGTTGGTGCAGTGGAAACACTCCTACTATGGCCGTGTTGAATCAGTTTCTGAAACCAGCTTGAACCAGTTTGAGCCAGCCTAAGCCAGCCTGAGCCAGCTCCAACCCACCACATTAGTGTGCAGGCCCTTAAGGAAGAGTTGGGCTAAGCAGGAAAGAACCTGCTACATTCCAGCCATTAGAAGCATTAGCATCTGCTTTCAAAACCGGAGGACCAAGACTGACTTTCTGAATGTTCACCATGCCTAGAAATACAGAGCCTACTGCCCCTCTCCCCCTTGCTTCAGAATCCAGGAACGGATGCCAGGAAAGCTAAGCTAGATGTTTCAGAGTTCTTACAAAGCAACAAAGACAAGATAGATGCAGCCACAGCGGATAGCTCCATTTGCCACACAACCAGTGAACATGGGATAGCTGTTTACCAATAAGTGGTTAAGGCTGCAAAACCGAGCTTGCCAAGTGTAATCATGAGCAGAGCAGACCAAATCACACTCTCACTGAAAGACCCCAGTGGTGGGCAGTCTTTCAGGCTGAGGAGACCCTCCCAAGGAACAGCGAGTCACTCTTCGGATGCAAATAGCAAGAGGCTTTATTCAGTACACAGGTACCTGGGGCGACTTAGTCTCTCGGGAGACAAGCGCGCCTGCAGACTGGGGGAAGGTCTTTTTATAGGAAAGAGGGCAGCAGAAGCAGATTACAGAAGCAAATGCATCGTTAGTGGTCAGTTGGAATGGGGCAAGGGGCACAGGTGGTTTTTCCTCTCCCAGCACAGATGTATGGGAACAGATATCCTGTTAATTGATGTCCTGCCCGAATCTATGGATATAAATATCCTGTTTTGCAGCCAGGGACCCTGACCTTACTCTGCACTTACAGTCGTTCATCAAAAGCTTTGTGAAATGACGTTACAGCAGCCAAGCTGGGATCTTTCATAGGGGGAGTTGTCTCTTCTGTGAATTACTGATATTCTAAGTTGGGCACATGTGCTGACTATAGGCATCCTGTTTCCTTAAGCAAACGGGAGGTTCTCATTAGAGCAGGCCAGCTGCGGGTTCCTTATCGCTTGGGGCCAGATGGCTGACCGGCTGACCGCAGATATCTTGCCTGGCTTCTCCGCCCTTGTTCTCAAGTCGAACTTCCCTGCTCTAATGTTACTTGCGTTGCTCCAAAGTTTAAGCCTGGCATTGCTGCTGCTTAGCTGTTTGTCTATACTGTGGGGGTCTTTCACTCACATGCTTTATCCTTCTGACTTAACAGGATGACTTGTGTACTAGCATTCGGTATGCACCGATTCCAGTTTTCACCCATTCTGCACTCTTTGGAGGGAAGCAGCAACTTCTTTTCCCAGAAGGATTCAAAATACTTTAAACGATGCGTGTCTCTTTCCACTAGAGGCACTAGAGGACAAAGAATGTTTCCATCGTACCCTTGGGGGGTCTAATTGTTGTGAGCATGGGATTTGCATAGCTTTGCTAGCAGGGATTTGGGGCAACACAAAGAGGCCCAACTGGCAAACATGGTGTGTTGGTTGCTCACTGATCCTGAACAGTGGTGTGGAAGCAGGGCACTAGCTTAGACAGCAACCAGCTGCTAGACACACACTTGTGAAGTCCTAATATAGTCAAAGAGGTTTGCCAGATGTTTGAGTATATAAAGATGCTTTTTCAAGTTTTCTTTTTGTAAGGATTTCCTTTAACTTGCCAGCAAATGAGCCACACAATTCTTGTTTTCAAAAGTCACTAAAAATATAAAGGGTAGTTAGGCAGGTATGGGGTAAAAACTTTATGCCCTGGAGTATTTAAGTCACCTATATGCCTTTAACTCATGTCACCACAAGGTGTCACTATTACAGCCAGAAAACACAGTGGTGACAACTGAGAGTGACAGCTATCTAGCTTTCTCCAACAAAGCCATTGATTTCCAAACAACAAGCAACCTTCAGTATCATTTCTCAACAAAGCCTGAATGAACGTGTCACGTGCCACGGAACATCCCTTTAAAGGCTGCTCCATGCCACCTGCAGAAGCAATCACAAATCCGTGAAGCAATTGTCTCTGCTGCTTCCTGTGTTTGTTTATCCACCATGTACATGGGCAATCCATTCCATCTGGGTTGAACACAGCTTTAAAATGCATAATATAAAATGACAACATTTTTTTCTTGCTTTGATCCTTGGGAAATAAACACAGACAGACAGACACGCATACACACACACACACACACACACACACACACACACACACACACACACCTAACTTTTCCTACCTTCCATCTCCAAATGGCCTTTTTGTTTTTTTTTTTTTTTTAATTAATGTTTTGAAAATTCTAGAGAACAGAGCAAAAGAATTTCTCGCTATCCACCCTTCATCAAGATTAGCACACTGCTGCCCTTGCCGGTAGGAATCAGTCTCAGTCAGCTGATAACTTAGTTGGGTCTGCTTTGGTGAGTAGCATTCTGCTCATTCCTTCATCCATCCATTCACTCATTCATCCATGCCTCCATTTCATAAATATTCTGGGGTGCCTAAACTCTCTGAGACCCTGCTAACCAGAGCTCGAGAGCACTCAAGGCTCCGTGAGTAATCTCAGTATGCCATACCTCACAAGTCCAGTGAGCTCACCTCCCCACAGGAAGCCATAAGGAGTTCTAGATAGGCAGTCTTCTACGCCATACATGACTGAAGAAAACTCAGCAAATAAATTAAAAAAAAAACAACCCAATTGGCTATTACATTTGCTTATATCTTTAAAGTAAATTTTCGCTTTGTGTCTCACAGTTCCATTTAAATATACTTTTGGAAGAGAAATAGTAATGGGGCAACCATATTAAAATTGAGATACATACATATATAAAAACTTGACAATGAAAAACATTTTTATATAATTAATATACACTAATTATAGAAAGAAATTCATAACCAGTCTTTGTGATTTATCTCTCCGTTTCTATCATTCCTCTCAGGTTCATCTGTCACTCATAGATAGCACCACAGCTTAGTCCATGAATACATATTTGAAGAAAGTTTGCAAATGACATGTATTTTTACTTTTTAATTTACTATTTTTATTTTTTAATTAGCACACATAGGTTTCATTGTGACATTTTCAAGTAAGGATTTTTGTTGTTGTTGTTGTTGGATTCTCCTCCTATTTCCTCACCTCATTCTACTGTTCCCGCCCCCTTCCACTCCCAGCAACCTGGTGGCTGTGTTCCTCTGCAGGCCTCTTCCTTCCTCAAGGCCTCTTCCACAGTTCCTATCATGGTGGCCCCTTCGGCACTCACACCCACATATGCATAAACATTAACAGCTAGGATATGCATATGAGCCGTTTCATGCTCTGAACTTAGATGCTTGTGGTGGCCTCTTTTGTTTCTATCCCCTTTACTCCTCGTTACAATTCCCTCCCTAGGCTGAATCTGCATTACTATCTGCAATGAAATCCTAATGAAATTCATGATGCTATGGTTCCGTTCTGCTTTTTCTTTCTAAATAAACAGAACTACTTCTACCTTAGTGAGTAGTAGCATCTGCAAAGGTTTTAGGCCTTGTTGCTCCTCCCCTCCCATGCCCCACCCTCCTCTCTGCTGCTCCACTTCCTAGGCCTAGTTTTGTGTCAGGTAGATTCTATTGTTTTTTCTTCCTCATCCCTCCTTTAAAACCCCTTTTCCCTTCTATCCCCCTCTATTGGTCCCCTTTCTGATAGGACTGGGCTTTTTCCTGATGACGGTACACAGTGAATACAGCATTGGTCATTAATTAAGATTTTATCGGGTGACTTACCCTCATCTTCCAAACCTTCCATGCTGCTGGACACTTCACTTAAAGACTCAGCCATGGCAAACTCACTAAAAAATGCAGAATATAAGAGGAAAAGATGATTCCTTCAATGTATAGGATACAGTAAAAATCATTTTGCCTTAAGTTATTTTCTTTAACTATTTAAGAAAAATATACCAAAGTAATTACCACTAGAGGTAGGTATCATCTCTTAAAAAGACAGTAATCCCAATAATAGAAGACGCAAATGCATGGATTTATAAGTTAGCTTGCCTAGGGCTGCAGGGGGGGGTGTAGTGTTTGGGATTGATGAATGGGGACTCACTGTGACACTGTGGCCATCTTAGTGAACATGGCAGTACTTCTCAGCACTCACACCACACAGAGGGGAAGAAACTATGTCTGAACTTCAGAAGCCCCTGGCAAAGGTGCCTGTTGCATACGATGCCAGGCCCTCTTAGGCTCACACGGCTCTTGCTTCGCCATCCCCAGTGGTAGAAGGAAGGAGAGTCAATAAAGAGAAATTGACAAAAGACAAAGGAGGAACAAAGACAAGGGGGTATTTTAACTCTCCTGCAACTCGGTGTCACTATGAGAAGCAATTCCATTTAAACCCCAGAGTTCAGTCTGAATTTTTTTCCTGGAATACATGCCTCATTTCCCCCAACTGATCCTAAATGCCCCACGACATCACCAGCAATCACTTATCTCAGGCGGGTCCACTCGTCACCAAGCCCAAAATCAAGGCACAATGAATAAACCTCCCCTTTACTACAAGTCTTTCCCTGTCCCCTCCACATCTTCTGCGGGACAAAACCCTGAGTTGTCTCTACTCACTTGTTCTATGGCTTCACTCGGACTTCTCCATGCTCGTCCCAGCGAGGACTCCAAAACCACCTGCCTTGCTCGGCCCCGGGAACAGAACTGCTCTGCCCAGAGCCAGCCTTCCCACAGTATCTCTCTCTCTCCTACTCTCCCTTTTAAAACATTTGTATCAGTTGCTGTGCAGAACATCACACTCCCCGAATTTTCCTCTTTCTTTATTGGCTGGCCCTTCCCAGGTTCCTCTAACGGCCCATTCTCCTAGCCCTGATTTTGAAACATAGCATTCGGGCTTTGCCCTTGGCCTTCTTCTTTATCAACAGTAAAGTACTGGCCCAACAAACATGAACAGAAACACAATTGTCCACCATATACACAATTAAAAATTCCCTAGCAGCACCACTTTAAAAAGGAGCAACCCTGAAAACAGGTGAAATTATTTTTGATAAGGTATTTTATTGAATCTGATTGAAATAAAATATCAGTTCAATGTGGAATTGCTGTAAAATATGAACAGTGTGTTTGCATTCTTCTTGTCACACTAAACTGCCTGACGAGCTGCATTAGTTCCTTTCTCTGTTTAAACTTAGTCACCAAGTGTTTGCTGCATAAAGGGTAAAACCCTAACTTTGTACACTTTCGGGGTGGCCCCTTGCCCTCCATCTCCCAGCAGCCTCCTGTACTCTTATCTCCAAGTTGTGGTGTCCTAGAACCATTCATTCCCTAAACGTACTATGTTATTTTGCTTTATCTGAACTATGCACAGCCTGTCCGTTATGCCTGAAACGCCATCTTCCCAAATGTCTATACCTTTAAGTTCCCTCTTGTTCTTGGTGACTCAAACAGCCATGTGTATCCCATCCTGCTCTTGGCTCTTTGCACATACATCTTCCATAACCAGCATCACCTGGTGGTCAGGGACAGCATTTTGCTTAGCTAAGTAGCATCATTGCCTAGGAGCACTCTGTGTACAAGGTACTCACTACAAGTGGTTAGATCCCAAGCTTTGCATTCCCAGTATGCATGCCCTGTTTTTCCCTCCCCTTGGTTATGGGTGGGCCTAACCTAACTATGTGAGCCCAGTAAAAGAGGGTCTAGATGTTAGATACACAAGTCTGAGATTTGAGGCTGTAGCAGATGCTTTTGTTGGCCTTGACGAAACAAATTGTCATGGTGTAAAGACCACAAAGGCAGAGACCATCGGGCAGCTGGGTGTTCTCAGTCTTGTAGCTGAGAGCAACCTTTGGTTAACAGCCATCAAGAAACCTCATGGTGGTGCATGTCTGTAATACATGCACTCAGAAGGCTGAGGCAAGAGGATGACTTGGGCTCAGAAGTTTGGGCTGGCTTCAGTATTAGGGTTTGGATATGAAGTGTTTTCTCAAAGGCATTGTTGAAGAGCAGCTGGTGGAAATAATCATCAAGATGATTTGCTGGGCATGGTAGTGCACTCCTTTAATCCCAACACTTGGGAGGCAGAGGCAGGAGGATGTCTGTGAGTTCAAGGCCAGTCACTATGGTCTGCGAACAGAGTTTCTGGATTACATAGGCAAACCTATTATAAATAAACAAAAGTAACTCGAGAGCTTTGACTTAATAAATAAATTCACCCACTGAATTTTGTAATTTGCTGGTATTGGTGAGAGGTGATTGGAACTTGGAGACAAAGTCTGGATGAGGGTATTACTGGGAACATGTGTTACAGGCACTGTCCCCAAACTCCCCACTAGCCTTCACTTCTGTTTCAAGCAGGGTGTGCCTGAGATTTTTTTTTATTTTATTAGTTTTTGTCATAGTTCCTGCTATTACAGATCCTAACAGTCAATAATACATTAGTTGAGAGAACTGAACCTCTTCAAAAAGTGGGGCAAGAACAGAGGTAGAAGAAAGAAAAGTGAATGTTGGCGTGGGCTATGAATTTCTCTTAGCTGGTCAGACTCTGTGTGGTTTGACTCAATTCATCCCTGTCCTTACAACTCCAGAGGCACCAGGGAGGGGAGTCGGCAACAGGAACTCGGGAGGGGAGACACCGAAAGCCACTCCCTGGACCTTGGATATAGAGTCAGGAAGCAAAGATGAGAAACCAGGCCCCAAGAGCATGCTCTCGTCCCACGCTGGATCACCCGTACCCCTCATGACAGTTACTCGTAACTTTTTGGTTTCTTCTTGAGAACCTGTAGTCTGTACTGTGTGGGTTGGAAGACACAATCTGCCGGTCACCCCATGCTCTCAACAAATAGTCTTTGTTCTCTCAGTTGTGTCTCGCATGAAATAGAGCAGCCTCTGGATAAAAATCACTCTTAACAGGGAGGAGTTGGCCTAAGGAGAGGCCATTCTGTTATCCTTAGTGGGTGTACACTCAATGAAATAACAATGCCTCCCAGAAAATGAGACCCCTGAAGAGTCTCAGTTAGACTGACAATTGCAAGCCTTCTGGACCTCTGATCTCCTTAGATCTTAAATGCATAGGCATCCCTTGGACTGTGCAAAGAAGCAGCTGCTACCTCACCCATGAGCAGAATCATCCGAAGGCACTCTGGCAGGAACCTGGAGGCAGCAGCTGCTACCTCACCCATTAGCAGAATCATCCGAAGGCACTCTGGCAGGAACCTGGAGGCAGCAGCTGCTACCTCACCCATGAGCAGAATCATTGAAGACACTCTGGCAGGAACCTGGAGGCAAGCAGCTGCTACCTCACCCATTAGCAGAATCATCCGAAGGCACTCTGGCAGGAACCTGGAGGCAGCAGCTGCTACCTCACCCATGAGCAGAATCATCGAAGGCACTCTGGCAGGAACCTGGAGGCAGCAGCTGCTACCTCACCCATGAGCAGAATCATCGAAGGCACTCTGGCAGGAACCTGGAGGCAGCAGCTGCTACCTCACCCATGAGCAGAATCATCGAAGGCACTCTGGCAGGAACCTGGAGGCAGCAGCTGATGCCGAAACAATGAAGAAGTGCTGCTTACTGCCTTTTTCCTCCTGGCTTGTCGAGATTATTTTAAATATCTCCTGAAATGCTAGACTGGTGGGCACGGATTGCTTTAGTTTCTACTTGTCTTTAAATGTCTTTATTTCTCCATAGTTTTTTTTTATTTTTTAAGATTTATTTACCTATCTTTTTTTTTAAAAAAAAAATGATTTAATGTGTCTGAGTGCTTAACCTGGGATGTATGTCTAGGCACCATGTGCATGCAGTACCCATAGAGGCCAGAAGAAGCTGTCAGAGCCCGTAGAAATGGAGTCATAGACTGTTGTGAGCCACCACGTAGCTGCTAGGAATCAAACCTGGGTCCTCTGGAAGAGCAACCAGTGCTCTAAAGTGCTCTGAGACATCTCTCCAGCCCCTCTCCACACATTTTTAAAGACAAAGTTACTGGATTAATCAATCTTAAATAACAGTCATTTGCTTTCAGGGCTTTGGCATCTACCATGCGATGAGTTTTCTGCTGGATGCACTTAGGATGCTCTGATATCTTTCCTCTTTAAGTGCTTGGCATTTTTTTCTCTTACAGCTTTTGATAATATTTCTTTGTTTTGTGACTTTGATATCTTGACTTCAATGTTAAGTTATGGAGAAACTCTCCTCTAGTCCTGTCTATCTGGGACTCTAAATTCCTTCTGTGCTTCTGTGTCCACCCTTCTATGCCTGACATTTTTTTTCTGCTGCTTGGTCTAATCTATTTGTGATGCTTTCCACTGTATTTTTTTTTTGATTCATTAAGTTTTTCATTTCTACTTGGCTATACTACTCCCAAAAAATACCCCAAAGATTCTACATCCTATCGCAGAGTTTCTGGCACGTCCATGTTTACTGAGGCTAGATTAACAATAGTAAGGAAATAGAAAACAGTTTAAATATTAACTTAATTATCAACTTGATAGACTCTAGAATCACCTGGGTGAACTTCTAGGCCCTCCTAGGGGGAATTAAATTCATTACAGTCAGCGATATGAGAAAACCCATCTTAACTGTGGGTAGGACTATTCCCTGAGCAAAGGATTTCGCAGTGTATGAAATGGAAAAAGCAAAACAAGCAGCATGCATGCAGGCTTTCATCTCTATTTTCTAATTATGGATGGTATGTGACCAGCTGCATCATTCAAATGAAGAATGATGACAATATTCAAAGAAACAAATAAATGGTTTAAGGAATTTTAAGAGAAAATGAACAGCAGAATGAAGTAAGAAAGACAATGCAGGACATTAAAACAGAATTCAGCAAGGAGGTAAAAA